CTTTAAAAAGCAGTTTCTCAATCCAGTGTTTCAAAATAATACCGGTTTACTCTCGTGTTTTCTGTTTCAGGTTTCTCCCTCGCCTGCCCTTCTACGACGCCACGAAAGCGCCAGGTGCGTTTTTCAGCGCGGCATGACATCATCCTTCTGCGGGAGGTCATCGCCCAGAACCCCTTTGCGTCCAAAGAACCAGGTTTGTCTTTTTTTTATTTTCATAAGAGGACACTTGAGCTGCAGAGATTTGTAGTTTTCGGCGTGATGAATGGAGACTGTCAGTTATTTGTTGCCTAGTAGCCTCCAGCATAAGACAATCGGAGCAAACTATCTTAAGATGAACTCGCTGATGTTGTCAGGACGAATCTGGGCCCGCGTGGGCGAGATTATCACCGCGGCCCTCCAAGAGGAAAACTTTGAGGTGGATGCCAGGAGGTGCAGAGAGAGGACCATGCTGCTGCTAGACTACTACAAGAAACAAGACTTCCCCAGTCTGCGCAGGTTGGTGCAAGAATCAAAGAAAAATAGCAAAAAAAAAAAGAAAAGCAAGCGGCGCTGTTTCATGTGGAAATCGTAGGCCTTGAACTGGATGTGTGCTGACTCGGCGATGTGTGTGCTTTTTGGTTCGCTCAGGTTTGGAACAGAGAGGTTGTACGCTCAGAAGGAGGATCTGCTCCATGAGGTTTTGGAGCTGGAGGCTGAGAAAGGGCTCCTGGTCAGCGGGGAGAGCACCAAGTACCAGGTCAGTGGTGTCATCACAGCAGAGAGGAGTTTCATGTTTATCCGACACCACAAGAAATGAATAGAAAGTGTTTTACTTTCCTTTAGTTGAGGGGCAGAACAACCACACGAGTTAAAGCATTTCACTCACTGTTGTCTAACTTTAATCTACGTATTGGATCTGAGACTAATTGGACTTTGGACACAGCAGATGTTTTTGTCTTTATATCAACTTGGGTATTTCCCCGTTCCTCCTCTTGGTGGCCCTCAGTCACAAGTAAACCAATACCCACGCTTACAGTACATGCGAGCAGTCAAGCGCCTGCTTGTGTGACATATTTCCAGTAATTGCCACAGTGGCTGTTAAGACGACAAGCTTGTTGAGGATTAGCGGAGCTCTCTGGGACACATTTGGGTTAATAAGGACATCTCGTCACTTCTGCAAATACAAATACTGCACACGGCGCGATCAAGGTCGCGCTTCTGGTTGCAGTAAATAGTCTTAACCGTTACGGTATCAGGTGACGTGAAGGCAGAACATTCTTAAAATGTGGAATATAGACACAGTTACTGTATATAAAAGGGCACAGCGTTGTTTTATTTTTAGGGAGGTGCAATATTATCCTTAGTCCCATCATTGGCTAAAAGTATGAAGGAGATTCTGTTGTTGTTTGACGTGTTGGTATTTTTTGGACACACTTATCAACCCTCTAGACATTCATTAATGCACCTTGTTTAGTGTTTGTATTGGGGAAAACCCTGAAAAATCTGCAACAGCTCCTCTTGCTGTCACTGTCCACTCATTATTACTGGATTAACTTGTCTTGCTGCTCCTAAAGCTAAAATAATGTCCATTTCTGCTCTTAATCCTCGTTTCCTTTGTTCTCGTTGTAGACGTGATCTTGTCTCTGTCTTTTCCAGGATGATGAGCGGAGAAATCGAGCCATAGAAGAACTAACTCTTCCCGAACCGGACAAACCCAACATCACGATCACACACACGTCCGCTGCAGGTAAAGTAGATTCACAACACTGGACAGGGCAGGACTCTGTCATCTGATACCCACAGCGCAGTTAAAAGGAAATGTATTCATTATTGCCTCTGAGGTCATTTGTCCTCAGTCATTACCGCCTGCTGACAGACAGATTACAGACATTTCATCAACTATAACTAAATACTTATAAGAAGCTGATGGCAACCTCACATCTAGTAATCTTTATGTGATAACTTCACCTAAAGTGGGGGATTTCCACATCTTGCTAGTACCTGGTTGAAGCCTCTTGTGTCTTCACAGCTGCTTTAATTCTTAATGACATAGATTCAACAAGGTGAAGGAAACAAACCTCAGAGATTTTAGTTGATAACGGCAATGACAGCATTTGCAGGCAGCACCTTCACTGTGCACATCTCTTGTTCCACCACATCCCAAAGATGCACGACTGGATTAAGATCTTTTAACATGACCCCACTTAAAATAGTATTAAAAGATGAGTACACTGTGGTCACAAAGGAGAGGACATGATCAGCAACAATAGAATGAAGTTTTAATTAATATAGTAGGTTCTAAGGGGGCCTCGCAGCAAGAAGGTTGCCGGTTCGCTTCCCGGTGGGGGCACCGGAATCTTTCTGCGTGGAATTTGCATGTTCTCCTCATGCAGCGTGGGTTCTCTCCAGGTTCTCCGGCTTCCTCCCACACAGTCCAAAAATATGTTGAGGTTAATTGGTGATTCTAAATTGTCCGTAGGTGTGAATGTGAGTGTGCTTGGTTGTCTGTCTCTAAGTGTAGCCCTGTGATAGACTGGTGACCTGTCCAGGGTGTCCCCTGTCTTCACTCTGAGTCAGCTGGGATAGACTCCAGCCCCCCATGACCCCAGTGAGGATTAAGCGGTGTATAGATAATGGATGGATGGTACTAAGGGGCCCAAAGTATGCCAAGAAAATATCCCTGACAGACACCATTGCAGCACGACCACCAACCTGACTTGTTGATACAAAGCAGAATGGATTCATGCGGTCAAGTTGTTTACGTCACATCTACTATTTGAATGTTGCAGAAATTAGGAACCTTCAAGTAAGTTTTCAGTTCCTAGCTGACAGGAGTGATATCCAGTCAAGATGCAATGTGTTGTGTCTGAACACACACTGGCTGTTGGTTGTAACAAGTGGTTATTTGAGCTACAGCTGCCTTTCTATCAGCTTGAACCACTCTGGCTATTCTTCTCCGCCATCAATAAGACATTGTCAGACAGAGAGCTGCCCTTCACTAGATGTTTTATTCTCTTTATTCTCTGTAGGGATGCTTCTGCGTGAAAATCCCAGTGGCAGTAGTTTCTGAATTACTCAAGCCAGCCCATGTGGAACTACAGACTATTCAAAGTCACTGAAATATTATCATATAAATATGATCACCACCATCATTACCACAAAAAAAGTGGAATGAAAGGGTACTACACGTTTAAGTGCGAAACAGTTAGTTTATGATCGAGGCTGTCATCGGGCTGGATTGACAGCAGCCCCCTCAAGGCCCGAGTGCCCTCAGTTTCAAGTTCACACCCCTATGGAAGTATTCTGAATATTTACCCTTCGGAGCCCTTCAGCGATTATTCACTGCCAACTCCTTTGACTTTGTACCTGATTGTACCCTCCAGGAGTCGGTAAAACTGTCTCATAATTACAGAACAAGAAGACGACCGCGAAGAAACGGCAGAGCTTTCAGCAGCTCCCACAGCCAAGCGGCCCTGCCAGTGTTGCTGCCAGACCTACTCCGAGATTCTCAGCTTTCTGGAGAAACGCTCAGAGGCAGAGCAACGGCTTCGAGAGGAGGAGCTCGCCCTGCGCCGAGAGGAACTAGAGATTCAGAGAAGTACGATTTCTGTGTGATTCTAAATCCAGCTCTGTGTAAAAACACGGGTTTGTAATGTAGGATTTGTTGTTGATGGTGGTCATTCTCAATTTCCAGAACAGGAATTTGCTGGAAGAGTGTTTGAGTTATAGTTAGCCTCATAATCATATTTATTTAAAAAGTCTGAGTTATAGGCAACAGGCTAAGTCCAGGTAAGAAGGACAAAACTGGATGCAAACTGTTGTTCCGTGTTCATTCATGCTTCCAGTGTGCTGACATTGACTCTCAGTTTTTATTCTTAGGCAAGATCGCTCTGGAGAGAGAACGTCTGGGAGCTGAGAGGAAGGAGAGGGAGCGAAGATTTGAGCTCGAGAGTCAAGAGAGGCAGGTCATCTTGGATCTATTAAAAGAAAAGGTGCTGAAAGGCTGACAAAGACAAACTGGATCACCTGGATTTTAATGCCATCTTTCACAAAGTGTATGTGTGGGTTGGGAAGGGCATAGCTGACCGCTAAAAAAAAGAGGAAGGAAAACAGCAAAACTGGAAGTGAGGAGATCAAAGAGAGGAACAGTGAGTTGATATTTAATATGGATGGCCTAAATGCAGAATGACCAATTGCCTTTATCTATTTTATAAATAATACATAATACAAATAAGCAATTTTTGTGAGCGTTAACCCACACAAGTACATACATTTGCTTAAAAAAGTATTCACACCCCTTCACTTAAAAAAAAAAAACATTTTGTGATGCTTTAGATTTAATTAAAAAATATAGACTGATTAAAAATTGGCATTTGTTTCCAATTAATTTACACCCAATATTCCATATTAACAATTTGGAAATTCTTGCTAATTTACAAAACATTAGAAATGGAAATCTCTCATTTGCAAAAGTTTTCAGACTCTTTTTTTTGTAGCCAAGGACGTGACCAAGAATAGACTCGAATAGACTCCCACTCTGAGTAAAAGACAAATGGCAGCCTGTCTGGAGTTTGTCAAATGGCTTTTACACGACTTTCAGAGCTCAAGAAAAAAAGATTCTCTAATTTAATGAAGCCAAAATTAAACTCTTTGGGCAGGACTCCAAGCACGGCAGTATATCTGGCAAACACTTGGCCGATCCCATGCCTACGGTGAAGCACAGAGGTGGCAGCATCATACAATGGGGTTGCTTCTCAGGGACAGGGAGGTTTGTCAGAACTGAAGGGAGAATGAATTCAATCAGAAGAGATTTTGAAGAAACCTGAGCCAGAATGTAGTGACCTAAGAGTGGGGTTATAATTCACCTTTCAGCATGACAGTGACTCAAAGGAGACAGTTAAGGTAACGCTGACGTGACTTATGGACCACTCTCTGACTGTTCTTGATTGGCCCAACCAAAGCCCAGACTGAAGGCCTACAGAATATCAATAGAGGCCTGAAGGTTGTTGTTTACAAATGCTTCCCATTCAATCTGATTATGCTTTGGAGGATGTGCTAGAAAGAATGGAATAAACTGCCCAATTCTAGGTGAGCTACGTCTGTAGAAACCTCCTCAAGAAGACCTGACATTGTGGTTGCTGCCCAATAAGAGGTTTCTGTTTGTGATTTTTAATAAATTTGCAAAACTTTTACTTTGGCATTTTCCAATACTGAGTATAAAAGAGAAAAACTTCCAAAGTTATTGATTTAAAGTCAACTCTGCAGCACAATAAAGTGCAGAACAACTTAGGGGGTTTGAATACCTTTTGAAGCGACTGTAGACCTGACAGAACCGATGACAGCATCGAGATTTGCCAAAACTTACTGCTCAGACCCAGTTCACATACGTGTTAATAGACCCTCCCTGTGTTTTATTCCTCATGACACGGTCTGCATAAAGATCCTAAAGCACTGCAATTACTTGAGTGTCTTTTAAGAAATGGAATGTAGAAGTGGGTGCGGTGCAGCCTCTTAGGTGTGGTGACCCACTGAGCCAAAACTGTCAGACGGGATCACGGTGTGCCAAGACGGCATGTTGCACAAAGTCGATAAATGCCTTTCCTCGTGTTGTGTGACACTAACAGCAGCATGAGTCCCGATTACAGCATAAAGAACACGATTCCCTGTAGTGTCAGATTGATAAAAAAATTAAAAAACTGAAGAACAAGAAAGGAATATATTTAAGCAATGAAGTCATAGTGCAGCTCAAGCTTTTGCAAACTGTGTAGCATATGCCATATTACCACTTTACACGTCGTATTCAGCCACTTTCTATTTGAAGACATTTTAATTAAATAGAAATTAACCTATATTTTACTGAGTCGGTTGCTATATTTTGACTGGTAAGCACTTTTTTACTGCAGAAATCCTCACTAACAAGCCATGAACTCCATATTCTGTAAAGATTACAAAGACTGTTGACAATTTTCTGACAATAAACTATGATGTGATAAAGTCATAATGACGAGTGATAATATCACATTATCTATGTGCTAGATTTCTTTCGCTGTAAGTGATTAGCCAAACATCTACAGTTTACGTTGCTCAACCAAGGTACAGTTCACGGTCACAGAATGTTGCATAGATGTGGAGAACATGACAGAAGCACTTGATTTTATACATTCAGCTGATTTATAGGTTGTTTATTTTTTTTATTGGTCATAGGTGATTAAATGTTCTGGCTCTTATTACATGACATACCTTATGTACATTATTCTTAAAGAATGCTTCAAATTAAATTGTGATTACAGTAAGTCCCCACAACATGGCCTACACTGTATAAAATGAAAGCTCGTAAAGAGTGTTTGTTAACCTACAAACTGTTTTGATTTTTGTTCTGCCAATAAAACACATAGTAAGCAAAGTTTGTGTGCATTCATTATGATCGCCATCATCGTCAACATTTAGCTTGAAGTGGTGTAGGACAGAGCTGTATGAAAAGGTGACTAATTTATTTTAAAAATGACTATAAGTGCAGATGTGCATATTCTAAAAAGTCACTATTAAACCTCATGATATTTAAATTAACATGTAAAATATTACTGTGAAGCTGTGTAAAGACTCCTCTTTACTAAAAGACCAGTAGTAGAAAGTACCACGTTGTATAATGTCCTAGTTGATGAGGCAACATCCAGTCAGAGAACCAAACTCCTTTTACAATCACACAAATTAGGATAGTTTTCTGCTCCAAATCTTTAATAAGAACTACTGATTTGATACTGTTGGTACTATACTATAATATCCATACATTATCTGAACACCGCTCACTCCTCACTAGGGTCATGGGGTGCTGGAGTCTATCCCAGCTGACTCAGGGTGAAGGCAGGTTCACCTGGACAGGTCACCAGTCTATCACAGGGCTACACTAAGAGACAGACAACCAAGCACACTCACATTCACACCTACGGACAATTTAGAATCACCAGTTAACCTCAACATGTTTTTGGACCTTGTGGGAGGAAGCCGGAGAACCCGAAGAGAACCCATGCTGCACGGGGAGAACATGCAAACTCCGCGCAGAAAGATCCTGGGTGTCCTCACCGGGATGCGAACCGGCGACCTTCTTGCTGCGAGGTGCCACTGATGGTGACATGCACAGTGTTTCTAGTGTGGTCAGATTCATCGCAACTAGGGACAGTACTTTTAGATGAAACTGAGAATTCATATAATAAATATAACTTTTTTCTTATTAATCATTAAAAACTGTCATGAATGCAATTTAGTACTTAACATAGTAAAAAATAAAAGTCTCAAGCTCAGCATAAATGATTTGGTATTTAATAACTAATACTCAGAAGTTATAGCTTTAAACAATAACAATAAATAACACATTTATCAACAATACACATATTAATTGCCCCTGATAGGATTTATGGCAAAAAAACAAACAAGCCACCATACTGAAGCAAAGCGGCCCCACCACGTTTTAGGTTGTTGCGCTTTAATTGTAGGTCATACAAATCCGGCATTGTGATTGGTCGAAGCTGCATCAGACACGCCCCCTGTTGTTTTGCTCCGCTCTCCGATTGGCTGTCTTGAACGTCACTCTCTCCGCGCGTCCGTCCAATGAACGCGTGGCCGTGTCGTTTTTTTTTTTTTTTTTAGCTCCGCTGCGACAAGCATAGCTACAAACTTTACAGTAACCACGTTTGAATTGTTGCAGCGGTGTTTTGGTGTTTGTCTCTGCGTCCAGTATTGTGTGTTTGTGTTTGTTTTTTTTAGTATTTTAACAAAGGAACAAAAAAAAAAACATTTCAGCTCCCTTCGTGGTATTTAAACCCGCTTGCGTGTGTCCTGGATGCGTCAACGACTCAGTGACCGCATGGAAACACGGAGCTCAGCTTTCCATCTGCTCCGGGTTTGGTGCTAGTCCCTTGTTTTCGGTGGTCCCGGTCGACAACTAGCTAGCGCCGAGCAGTGTGGTGCTGCCTACAGGCGGACCATGTGCTCTGGTGTTGTTTTAGCTTCATAACAGTGTGGCGTTGTGTAATTCTTTGTCTTGTTATTAGTTAAAGATGTGCGCTGGAAGTGGAAACCAACAGAGTGCTTGATTTTTTTTTAGCCAAGGTGCTGTTTAGGGAATAACAACGACGGTTTTTTGTTTTTTCTTCCACTTTTCTTTTGGGGGACACCTTACCAATAACATTGCTTGTGAAGCAACATGCCTATTAGGCGTTTTGGGGGTCACAGGTCTCTGGTGTCTCACTCTCAAACTCCCAAACTGTCGTACGGTTACACCAAAATGAATATTTCAAGAAGTGGCTACCGGGTGTTTTCTGCCAACTCCACCACCGCCTGCACCGAGCTAGCCAAGAAGATAACAGAGTAAGTGTTTGTTTTATTTATTTGATATACACATAATGCATAAATCCACTCATGCATGTGTTATTTTTTGATGTAATAATAGTGATGCAATGTTCCTGTGTGTGTCTACAACTGTTTGTACACCCATGAGTCACAGCAGCAGGTGTGTTGTTTAATTTAAATGAGACACAAACACACACTGTAGGAAGCCTACAGTAAAGTGTGCAGGATGTGTGATGATGACACAACACAATGAGATGCAGAACTACTTCTACATCACCACAAACCTCCCTAAAGTTGCAGAAGATGCATGTGTTTGTCCACTGTGTTGCTCCACAACTTTACAGGAAGATCTTTCAAACAGTAAATATTAACACTAGAGAAGGCTGTCAAGTGTTTACACTGAAGGAAAAGGAAACCTCTGGTGTTGTGCAAAACATATGTATGTGTGTATGTTGTTGTCCTAGTTTTGGTTGATCACTCACAACAGCTTATATCTTTGCAAACAAGGGTTAGCATCAATTCCTTATAGTTTTTTTTTAGCACACGTTGCCTACTCATATTGCTTTTCTTGCATCTTCCAAAATGTTAAATGCCACCCATGCGGTCCTGAATGCTGTTCTTGGGTAAATATCACTTATTTAAATCTAAAAATATGACATTAAACCTTGTATGACATTAATATTAGTTGCAGACATTGTTATTTGAAACTGAAGCATTTGATATCAATGTATTATTTGTATGTTAATCCTTAATTCAAAGATTTTACCTTGGCTGCGAAACTTATTCTATTGTCATTCTCTGTAACCCTTCCCTCCTTAATAATCGTTCTATTTTTGCTTTTTAAGTGTCGCAACAGGTTGAAAAGACAGTCCAGCTAATATGAAAGCTGTGTTTTTATTAAGTTATGACTAATCTGGGTCTGGTGTTGGTGAGCTGTCAGTGATAATCACGGCGTTGAAAGGAGTGTACTCTGCAGATGCATTTCTATCTAGGGAGTAAGCAAACACTGTATGCTGTGTTTTTTTTACTGCAGCAGCCACACATTGTTTAATAGGTCATGATTTATGGGGCGTTTAAATGAGTAGTGGTTCAGTAGATTAAAAAAACACACAAATATCTTCTCTTATTGGAATCAGGGAGCCGCCATGTTTTCCTCCCTGGCCCTGCACACTTGTCAGAGAGCCAAGGAGACGTTGCGGGGCAAAAAAAAGAGCTTAGCTTTCTATGTTTTTATTGTTTGGCAACACGAGAGAACATTATTGGGGAGATTATGTTGCCCTTTTGGTGCCGAGAAGAGTGGAGCAAAGGTTAAATAACAACAAGAGCACACAGGCGACGTTAATGAATACAGTGCTGGATATTTACTCAGACGTGCATGTGATGACTGGCTTGTATGCGAACACCCTTGGGACTAAAGTCATCCTTATTTTTTTACAACCACAGAATTCTTCACCAATAGGAAACTGTTCAGAAGGCTGCAAACTGGGCGGCATTTGCAACCCTGGTTCGACAAATAGAATAAAATGATTAAAGCGCATGTACCGTATGTTTGATCTTTCTCGTTGTTGGCCTGCTTTAGTGTGCCGTGGCCATAAAAGATGATCCCGCTATCTCAAACGTTGGAACAAGTTTTGGATTTGGGGATGTAAACAGGGTGAGGCAGAGGAGCCTCTCTCGCCTTGTGGGTTCCCTGCTGACTGTACTGGCAGGGCGCCCGCTGAACCCGAGCCAAGTCCTTACTCATCCAAACGTCGTGTGCTTTAAAGAGCATTCAAGTTCATTCTGTGTAACTGGCACTGTTATGTAGCTGTTGGGTTTTATTATTACCGGCGTAATTTACTGCACAAGCTGTATTTGTGATGTCTGGGCTTGTTCACAGTTTTATGCAACAAGACTTGTACACACCAAACATTGATGTTGATATCTGCTTTGTCTGCGTTTGTCTCTTTTTTCTGAAAGTTTTTTTCTCCTTTTGAAGCTGTCAGGAGTGAGTTTTGTCACAACTGCACCACTGAATTTAACAAAACCTTCGACTTGTAGGTTTCTTTTGTGGCTGCCATGTTTTATTTTATTTTTTTACGACACTCAAGAGCTAATAAATTAGGTTCACTGTTTGTTATAGACCCCAGACTTTCCAACAAAACTTATCAGCAGTGAAGCAGTCGGCGGTCATAATGAAACCGATAGTTCACAATAGTTTAGTAGCACACAGAAAGATGGGTGTTTTATGTTTTTAACACTCTGTGGTCTGTTTTTTTTATTTATTTTCTAGACGTTTGGGTGTGGAGTTGGGCAAGTCAGTGGTTTATCAGGAATCAAATTCAGGTGAGGCTAAAAAAATATGTCTTTTCATATTGAATGACAACTGTTTTTATCAGCATCTCACTTAAATTGAGTTTTTTTTACCCCTCAGAGACCAGAGTGGACGTAAAGGAATCTGTCCGTGGACAAGACATCTTCATCATTCAGACCATTCCCAGGTGAAGCAGAAAGATTGTTATCTTCACCTTAACGGCCCTGTTCTTTAAATTAACCAAGAATGTCCTCCTGAAGTGAACCCAAGGAGAATTGCTTGCCTCATTATTTTAATTTTACTGCTCATGGATGTCATTCTTATCAGGATGGTTGCAGCCGACGGCAAAACTGAAAGCTCTGACTGGAGCACCGTGTTCCTGCCTGACGGGAAACTAGTTAGCAACACCATTCATATGATGCTTCTCCAGCAGTTTGATGGAGGCCAAAGACGCTCAAATGAGAGTGAATGCTGGACTTTAGTAATGATAATCTGTTTTGATTGGATATCTAAATACACATCATCTTGGTGACAACTTTATAAAAGGATGAAATGGTGTTTTTCCTAATTTGTTTGGAAATCAGTTCTTTATGTGACATGGCAGTATGAACAGCTTTCGAACGTCTACTTACGAGCTCAGCCGCGTGATTTAAAAGCTGAATAAAAAGTTATTTATTTGCCATTATAATCCCAGCAGCTACGGAAGTGTATCGCATTTGTCATTTTCATGGTATTAAGTCGGAACCTGTTTATTTATGTGCCTCGGAAAAGCTTTTCTTTTGCTTTCGATAGCCTCGTAACGATCCGCACAAAACTGATCTGCCCTTGCTTATCATCAGTCATTCGCTATGATGACAAGACCGACTCTGAAAAACAAGCAGGGGTCACAGGAAGGGGACATCACATTTTTCAACTTCCTGTATTGAGTGTGCGCTGATCCAACAGGCTGTTCTCCTGCATGTGTGGGATTTGTGGCCTGTTTGTATCCTTAAAGTAGGGAAACTGGACTAGTCGTCAAATAATAGCTATCATGTCACCTCTTCTCAGCACATAGTGTTTATTTGTAGTCCGTGGAGACTCAAGGTGTCTTGTGGGAACACTTTTCTTTCTTGGAAACTTGCCGATGATATTTATGTCAGTAGACGTTTGAGGTTATGTGTGCCTCAGGGTTCAGGGGAAAAAAAAAAGGCCCGTTCAGGTGGAGTCTAATGACAGTGGGCTGATGTTTGCTGACTCAAAATGCCCCTTCACCTCATTACCATCAAGTATTTTTGTCTAACTTGTCTAACGAGCCGTGCACTTTTCCTTTTGGAGATTGTGACGTCTAATTTTGTCTCCTTGTCTTGATGTATTCCTGCTCAGGGACGTCAACACGGCCATCATGGAGCTGCTGGTTATGGCTTATGCCCTGAAGACGTCCTGCGCCAACAACATCATCGGCGTCATTCCCTACTTTCCTTACAGCAAGCAGTGCAAGATGAGGAAGAGAGGATCCATTGTCTGCAAGCTGCTGGCATCCATGTTGGCTAAAGCTGGTATTTGCTGCGTTTTCATTTCCTTTTGCATCCACCAACCGCTAAATAGAAGCACAGAATGAAGTCAGGAGTACAGATTAATCTAAGTGATGTTAAGACGGGGATGCAGAGGACAACTGTTGAGTTGTAGATGTGACATTGATCAGACCAAGTGTGTGTCTGGGTTCGTTTGTCACTGACAGCTGGCTGAGAACATTATATAGTGTAGGAATCCAATCTGACAGTTTCTGCCAATCAGTCTTGCAAAGATGTTTTAAAAAAAGAAAAAGATATTTGTGACTGACATCAACAACCAATGATGTCCCTTGTGTTGTAGTTAGAAGCTTTATCTAATCTGGTGTTGCCTGCGTTTTACAAAATTCACAACCTAACTCCACCAGTTCTTCTTATAAGTTAACTGCTGCTGGTTGCCACCTATGTTTTTTTTGAGTACAACAACAGACAACAGCTGGTGGTCCTGTAGGATTTGCAGGGTTGTCTACTCCAGTAGCCAGTTTTCCATTGTGTTGCACTATATTTACTCAGTCTTAAGCTTCATGCTCCTTCTTGACAAGGAGATTGGTGGAATTGCTTTGTGGAGTTCAAGCTAAGCGTGCTTCAGTCTTTGTTCAGGTTCGTCTCAAGCCGTAACTGTACAGAACAGAGTGAGTCAGCCTCTTATAGTTGTGTACAGATTAGGCAGCGTACAAGCCCTGTTGCATAATTGTTGCATTAGATACGGGCTTGCAAATGTATTGAACTGTGCACCTCATTTCATACACCTATTGTTTTGCATGATTTTCTGCCTTTATTCTGAATGCTTGATGCATTTTGCATATTATTTTTTAAAGTTATTTTTTTGGCCTTTGTGCCTTTATTGGATAGTTTTAGTTAGAGAGAGACAGGAAAGTAGGGGAGAAGAATGGGGGGAGGACATGTGGGAAAGGGTCATGAGCGGGAATTGAACTCATGACCTCCACATGGGGACTGTAGCCCTGCATGGGGGACGCCAGCTCAACCAGGTGAGCTATAGCGGCGCCCCACATTTTGCATATTATTTAAGAAATTCCCAAACTCTGCACTGGATTCAATAATCTGTTCATATAGTTTGTTAAGTATAATTTTCGATGCCCTTCCTTTATTTTTCCACCATTATATGCAAGACGCTCTGTGACTTTGTGCTTCATATGCTGCAGAAATTAGTCCTGGAGCCATACCAGCTCACATTTGTCACGTTTGTGTTGTTGCAGGACTAACTCACATCATCACGATGGACCTTCACCAGAAAGAAATCCAAGGCTTCTTCAGCTTCCCTGTTGATAACCTGAGAGCTTCCCCCTTCCTCATCCAGTACATCCAAGAGGAGGTTAGGCTTCGTTCTACTCTACACTCGGCAATATTGTGCCTCTTTGTCAAACACACACACACAGTGCCACAAAAAGGACGGTGTTCCACTGCACGTCAGCATTATTTCAACTTGTAAATATTCTATTGCTGAAGACAATATTTCTCTTTACTCAGATCCCGGATTACAGGAACGCTATAATCGTTGCAAAGTCTCCTTCAGCTGCCAAGAGGTGAGTCGCAGGCTGGTGTAATTAGAATTTAAAAATGCTGATGTTCTACAAGTTCAGCTCAGAAATGTGTTTTGTTCAACGCCGCTTCTCTCTGATGTTTGACCTTTCCTGGGTTTCTGCTGGATTTGATGCTAGAAGGCTGCTTTCAAATTCTACTGTTAAAAGATTTCTCTGTGCTCACCTGAACCGACTTAGACAAGTGTCGGGAGGAAACGTGCTCTGGCACATACTGTACACTGAATATGGATTTTCTGTAATTTTAGCACACATATTGTATTTAGGAAGGCAATTTGAGAACAATTTAAATCTTTTATAGACTGGATTTTTCAGTGAATGACGAGCTGTCGTTGTGATTTTAAGAACTTCTATCACAGAACTTTATTTTAAGAAAAAGAAACAGAAATTGTTAGTAAAATCAGTCTCTTTCTGACACTCTGAACAGTTTCTTTTGCACCTTACTCTGCTCTTGTGTTCTCATTACACTGCTTTGTCTTTGTAGGTATTTTTCACTGTCCTGTGCAAACTTCTTTCTGCTCTCTTTTGCCCACGTACTCGTTCGTATGTGTTGTGTTTGTCAGTTCCTTTGACTCCTGTGTGTCTGTGTGTGTTCGTCTGTCTCAGAGCTCAGTCCTACGCTGAGAGGCTGCGGCTCGGCCTGGCAGTGATGCACGGGGAGGCCAACCATTCCGAGTCGGACATGGCCGACGGTCGACATTCCCCCCCGTTGTCCCGCACCACCACAGGACACACTGGCCTGGAGCTGCCATGTAAGACGACAACACGGCTACATGCATATTCACGAACTTCTGTGTCCCCGCTTTTCTGTAGCCTGAGACAGTCTCTTGCAGATATTTGTTGTAGCATGACTGAAAATAATGGTTTTGTCACTCATTCTGTGTTGTGTTTAAACAAAGCTTATTGAACAAAAATAGGAATCCATTCTTTGGACTTTAAGGAGTAGGTTTGCGTTGTTTCCAGACACTGTATCTCTATATCGAAAGTGATAGTGGTCAGTTTGAGAGCAGTGTTAAAGAGCAGAAATCCATTTGTTAGAGGGCAATAGTTGAGTTGTGGACGTTGGAGTGCCTGGCTGCAGCTCCAACTGGCGTGCCAGCAGCCTGTTCTCGTCTTCCTCTTGTCGTCTGTGTCATTTGATTATAGCTGCATTTTAAAGTGACCTTTCAAAGAAGTGTCTGTTTACTGGTCACGCTAGCAGATCATTGTCCAATTATCTAATCAATGAAGAAATTGAGATTTTCACATAACTCAGCTCATGTTGACTCTTCATTAACTTGTACATCCTCACCAAGCTGCTCCTCTTGGTCAAGTACCACACCAACACACCAGGAATGTGCCTTGGGTGTCTGACTTCCTCATATTTCACATAATTAATGTGCATGACAGCCAAGAGAGCTCCAGTGGCTTTACAGGGACTTTCCCACAGCTCATTGTGTACTTTTACCACAAATTTATTGATGACTGTCGGGTCTAAAAGATTGTGTAGTCAGTCATAAATACACACTTTTTGAGATTATGAATGTATTTACGACGCTGTCCTGGCCGAGATAGGCGACAGCATCAATTCATAGGTCACAAACACAGACAGGAAACAACTGAAATAAGGTTTATGTGAAGATTAAGAGTGTGTTACTGTATTATGAAATAGTGTAAGGTGGCAGTGTGCTTAAATGCTCTTTACCACATTCATTATGGGCTCAACCACTCCAGAACAGTCGCCTTGTTCACTATTTCTGTGTGGCTTTGGCTGTGTGCTTTCGGTCACTTTCTTGCAGGAAGACAAATCTTTTTCCAAGCCGCGGTTCTCTTGTAGACAGGTCCAGGATTTCCCTCTGCTTTGCTGCATTCATTTCACCCTCTTCCTCTATAAGCTTTCAAGGGCTTTCTTTCTCTTGAGAAGCATCCCTACATCATGATGCTGCCGCCGCCGTGCTTCACTGTGTGTGTGTGTGTGATGATGTGCAGTGTTTGGTAGCATTGAGTCTGATGGCCGAAGTGTTACCAGCAGATCAAAGAACCTTCTTCCAGAGTCTTATAGATGTGTTCTGACAAACTCTAGTCAAGATTTAATTTGAGCTTTTACCCAACAGTGGCTTTCTCTTTGCCACTCTCCCGTTAAGGCTCTTTGAAGAAATAGAGCTTCGCGTTAGTTCAGACAGGCACGGAGTCAGGGTGTCACATGGCCCCTCCTGTCCAATCGTCATCGCTGAAGTCCAGCCCACCCACTTAGCGTGCTTTATAACTGAGGCAGCGTTCATTCATTCTGCCCGCTTCACGCTCACCACATCGCTGCTACTCCGGCCTCTGCAGATCGTCAAATCTCCTCCTCAACCACCACCTTTTAAAAACAGTTCAATCTCATATAGCCCCAGTGTTTCCCATATGCAGATGGTTCATTATTGTACCTTGAACTATGTCATCTAGATTCTGTAGTGAAGCCTATTTAGTTGGTCTCCTGTTCTTGTGTTCATACCGTATTTGAAAAATTGTAAATTCATGGCTCTTCGGGGGTTTGTGATCTCAGGGATTATCTGTGTCAGATCATTCCAGAGCATAACAAGCAGAGTCATCGCCAAATTAAATGTATGTGATCTCAAATAAATGGTTAAAATCTGACAAAGTGTCCTGTCTGAACAGGCAACGGTCTCTCCCATCTCAGCTGATGAAGCCAGTAACTCCTTCATAGTAGTCTTGGTGGCCTCCCTCTCTAGTCTCTGTCTCAGTTTTTGTGGACGGTACAGGCCCTATAGGTCATGAGAGTGTAGACAATAGCTTCCTGTGCTTTTTTTGGACACATTTAGATCCATAGATGTGGATGCAAAGAGTTTAAAAGGAGAAGCTGTGTAGACATCTATAAACTAAACACTCCTGTATAATGTGCCTAAGTTTAGAAACATATTGATGAATGTGAATGCCAGAGTAATCATCATGCTGACGCCACAGTAACACACACACACACAGTGTTCTCCACATGTTTCAGGTCAGTCCTGCCTCAGGTGCTGCTGTAACCACCTGTGAAATACTGCAGGCAGTAACTGACAGTGCTCGCTTCTTCTTCTTCCTCGCTCAGATTTATTTCCTGCCTGATCTCATCCTGTTCCATCTGCTTTCCTTACAGCTGAATATACCGTCTCCCTCGTACTCTGCCCTGACTTGGAAATGTTTTATGTCAGCTATATCTTTTCCCTCTCCAGCAGGTGCTGAATCACTCTCATTCCCGTCATCCCTCTCTGCCTCTGTACGTGCATTGATTGTGAGAAGTGTCAAATCATGGTTTCAGAAAGGCTTTTTAACTCTTAGCAGCAGATTTAGAAACCGGAGGAAATCAGTGGTAAAATATGTTTGGACATTAAAACACCCTGTAATGTTTTGTTTGTGGATTTTTTTGTATGTGTGAATATAATCTAACATGTTTTGTACCATCCTATCTTTTTCCCACAGCAAGCAGCAGACATGTCCCATTCCCTGGGATAGAGCTCCCAAGTATGATCACAATGCTCGAATCCATTCGTACTGTTGATTGTTTATGCCTCCCTGCATGGAATGACAGTGAGTTACTGAGGGCTTCCACTTGACATCTGGACAGGAAAGGATCCGACAAGAGGTGGTAGTCGCGTCTCAAAACAAGAAAACAAAGAAGTCTTGGTAACTTTTGTTGAATCTGAGAACCACCAAATGACTCATTTGTAGCTGCCGCAGACAGATTGCTTTCTTAAGATTAAGTGGCTACCTTTTATTCCCACTTATTGTACTGAAAATGGATAAAGTACATCATCATTGCATTTTAAAGTGCGGTTTATGAAACCCATTAGTTCCACGAAAGGAGAGTTATTTCCCCCACACTAGGTGGAAACTAAACACTGTAATAGGGTGCTTCAGTACACTATCCATGTCTGTTTTATTCTTCCAGAAGTTGCATCATCACTGCCTTGAATATTGATGAGCTCTCACACACTGATCCCATCTTACTGCTGAGAGTATAAAAGAATTTGGGAGACACATAATGTCTGCTTTGAGATCAGGGCGACACACTATCCTGATGTTCAACATTGAGGCACAGCTGGATCATGAAAGTCTTTGCGTGTTCACGATAATTGTTGGAAGCCTTCAGTCTCACATCCTCTGAACTGAAATGATTTTTTTGTGTTTTGTGGAATCAAGAATGACTTCTGGAGCAAGAAAACGTGATATGAACGTTATGTCAGATCCTCAGGCTGCTCAATATTCATATTGAGGGGAATGAAATGAATCCAGCACAGTGCTGAGTATGCGCTAGAAATTGTTAAAAGTGGTACATCATTGATTGCTTAACATGAACAAAATCATGCCAAGCAATGTCCCGACCTGATAATTCTGTTCTTTTCTGTTCATGGTTCCATCCTTGCATCGTTTTGCTTGACGTTTCTGTTTTTGGTGCTATCAGAATGTGCTTGATTTCTTATATTTGCACATGTAATGATGGTATTTAGATGCTAGTTTCCTGAAATCTCAGAAATTTGCAATCATTCGTTAAATTGAAGAACAGAACTTTTGCACAGGGGGCCTTGTAGGAGGACTCTTGCCGTGGTCAGGCCTTCTGTGTGGGGGGGGGACTTGCAGGTCGGATGTGGTGGGTTCAAGACATGGATCGATCATTACTTGAAATCCGTTTGTGTACTTTAAACACATGACATATGGCTGGTAGGGTTTGGAGACTTCAGTTTTGGTAGCTGCAGATAAGCTCCAAGTTTTTTTAATGCAGTTACTGTTTGCTAACTGTCAGTAAAAGTGTTTGATTAGATTACAAATAATGATTGGTCCTGGTCTGTGATTCTCCAGAGAGGCTCAGTTCCACACCCACTTCTCTATCTACCACCCAAGCAGTTCGATTTAATTGCACTATGTAACTCTCTCTCTCGGTTTGGATTCTGCAAAAGCCACAAATCTGTCCCGCTGCTAACTTTGTATATTTTGCCAACATCTCAGTAGCCGTCATTGTCTTGCAGTGATTGGATTGCTGTGGTAGATGGAAGCTTGTTGGGTTAGAGCTACCTTGCATGTCGTTTGCAGGTTTTAACCAAATCCTCTCTTACCAAATCTCCCTCGACTTTACCTCATTCCAATAAGCTGCTCCTGATTTGGGGGGTTGCAGGATGGACTTGAGTTCTTTCCCTGAAAGTTAAGTTCCTTTGTCTCTGTGTTTCAGTGATGATGGCGAAGGAGAAGCCACCCATCACTGTTGTTGGAGACGTCGGAGGCAGAATCGCCATCATCGTCGTAAGAACTCCAGATGTTATGAATTTCTCCATTTAGAGATGTATTCTTCATACTGAAACATAGGATGATGTTTGTGTTTTACATGTTGAAGTGGTGTGCTGCCTTTATATGCAAACTGATGTGATGTTCCGTGTTTATCGCTGATGCTTCACGTACAGCAGAAATCTCAGGAAATGACAGCGAGGCTCAGTATTTGTGGTGCTTTTTGTGCTGAGACAGATTCATGTCAGTCATCAGACTTCCAGATAAGCTGCAGCGGATTTAAGCTTTTATGTTTTTGTTGCAAAGATTCTACAGCGATGCAAACACACGTATTACCCTTTTCCCCCTGCGCACTCCTTGACCTTGCGCTCGCTCTCCCAGGATGACATCATAGACGATGTGGAGGACTATGTTGCAGCGGCGGAAATCCTGAAAGAGAGGGGAGCCTACAAGATCTACATCATGGCCACGCATGGCTTGCTGTCTGCAGAGGCACCGAGGCTAATAGAGGAGTCTGCTATCGATGAGGTAAAACCGTGTGCGGTTGTACAAATCGTTCGTCTTAGTGAAGTTAACAGTCAGTGCTGCAGGGAAAGGATATGTGAAAGATGTCCCAGCTGTGGAAGAAGAACAGAAATCTCATCCTGTCACATATCTGATAGGCCGTTTTTCTTCCTTCTCAAAAACTATAATGTCATTGTTTTTGATAGCTGTAACTCTGTTTGTGTTACTGCTTCATTTGTTGCACTTCTTAAGCACATTATTCATGCTTATCTATTGCTTTGAATAATGTATCAAGGAGGATTGATTTTTCTTTTTTTATCGAGTGTCGATTCCAGAATTTGTTCCATTAATCAATATAATAAAAGAACGTCAGCATTTCAGTAACATCAATAACCTGCTTACAGGATTTGAACATAAAATGTGACGATATGTTTGCAGTATGCACAGATTTCTTTTGTTCATTTATCAGGAATCTTGTGATGAAGGCACTTTGCATTTATCAGATACAGTGTCAAAAAATAGTTTTTACATTTTCATATGTTAAAGCAGTTTGCTTGTATTTAAATCTACCTGATGTCTTTTCCCAGACACCACCAAACCGAGGTTTATTAATTAAATACTCATGTTTTGAGTAACAGATTTATAAACTGCAGGACATCGAGCTCAGAATGTGACCATGGTTGGGTTTTATTTGCCAGTTTTACAAAATGAATATAGATGAGAAGTTGTCGTGCTGCCCGTGAGGCCCAGACTCGGTCATGCCTCCATCTGCATGACAAAAGGCTGAAACCAAGGCTGTTGTGTTCTCCCTCCAGGTGGTGGTGACCAACACCGTTCCTCACGAGGTGCAGAAGCTGCAGTGTCCAAAAATCAAAACTGTGGACGTGAGCATGATCCTGGCCGAGGCGATCCGGCGCATCCACAACGGAGAGTCCATGGCTTATCTGTTCCGCAACATCGCTGTGGATGACTGAGGCAACACACACTTACATTTATATTCCAGCTTACAAAAAAGCAAAACGTTACCAAGCACATACACCGAGGACCAAGTATCCAGATTACTGCAGCTGGTTTTTGTCTTGTTGATAAACCTGTTAGTGGCTGGATTACACATGAAGCAACTTTTTTTTTCTCTTATCTGTCGTACAGAGGCTGTACTCACACACACACACACAGGTTTCACTTCACTAATATATGCTTGCTCCTGCCTGACAACATAAATGGCACCAGTCATGTATCATATGCATCTTTGCAGCACGCTGCAGAATTTGACTAATAAAGCTGTTCTTCTTGAGTATACATCTGTCATTTTCTTTTTACCGCAGAGATTTAAAATCAGTACCCAAAGTAAACTAGATGAAAGCAGCACAGCACCACAGCTGTCATCACCAAGTACTCATTTTGCAATGGAAGTGTGAACAGTTTTGTGGAACTACCAGAAAAAGTCAGTACAGTGGCTTCACACCTGAACTTCTACTTTCAGTAGCAGTTTCAGTCACAGCGCAGGCTGCTTGCTTTCTGAAACATGAGAAATGTCTGAATGTAGTGTCCATCTGCAGTTAGGAGACAGTTCCCATAAAGCTATTGGCGCTTATTCAGAAGAGCTCTGCGTTGCATTCATTAAAATATATAAATACATTACGGTTGCTGGACATAATACAGGACGGCACTTATCAGGAAATGAAGCACAGATTAGGGAAAGGATTCTGAGCAGAGCAGCCGCTGGGATTGAAAAAGAAATGTCTGCACTATGTATGAAATATTTAGTTAAATCAAACCTTTATATGCCGCCTAAAACAATGTAGATGATGGGTACAGTTTTAAATGTAATACACATTTCAGTAGTGCTATGTTAAAAATACATTTTGGGTGATAAATTTCAAATGTTCATCCACTTTGTTCTAAATCTGTTGAATCATTTTTTTAATGACTTCAATAGAAGACTGTATTTTACACACTGACACATGACCTACAACTGCTCAGCCAGAGTAAATATAGACATGTGACAAATTCTACATTTTTCCCCTTCTGCTGCAGAGGCAGCAATAAGCCATCAAACCTGCACAGTCGTGATCCTTACAGACCTAAATACGACTTTGCATCATACCTCACATGCAGATATTTCATTATCCTCTCTTTAACCATCTTGCTGTTTCTGTCCAGGACCCTGAACTTGTTCTAAACGCCTCAGAGTTGTTTTAACCAGCTGAGGAGCTTTGACCAAGTCCAGAGGCGGAGACATGAGAGAAACACGAGTCAGAACTATATGAATGACCACGTTCCCTGCAGCTAAAGTCTGATAAACGCTTTGAAAAGTTTTTCCTAAAGTCAAGGTTTTCTGTGTTATATTAAAATTTAAATTATTTATCTGAGACCAAAATGAAAACAGAACTCGGTGTAAGAAGATGACAAGTCCACACACCTGCGTGAGCGTGAAGCTGCGAGGCCTCCCTTCCTTCGCAAATGAGCAAGAGCAGAGTGCGGAAGAATGTTTAAATGTGGACTGAAAGAGGAACTGCCCGCAAACGTTTACCCGGCCACTTCCTCAAATTAAAACAGGAAACTTTGTTCAGTCTAATCTGATGGAGTTGGATGGGGGTGGGGGAGGAGGTGGAGGGCTGCCTGGACCTGAGCACTACAACCGTTTGCTCTCTCAGGTTGCATTTAGGGGAACCGTGCACAGATATTTCAGGAACTGCATAATGGGTTTTGTTAACCGGTGAAACGGGAGCATTGCTGAACTGTTTGAATGCTTCAGGGCAGCTTCGTTTGTTTAACTCCCTCTCAGGCCTGCAGCCGGTTAGTAGTGTCATTCGTTTTAAACCAATTCAAGAGATGCTAAATGAGTGTTTAAATGTTTTCCCAGACTGTTTCAGCTGTTTACTTGACATTGAAGTGTGTTGTAGTCCAGAGCCGTGATAGATAATCGGCCTCGTGAACCATTTCAGCACACATCCAGTAAGACTCACGCGATGATGTGTATTAACATCAATCCTTAAACGTCCGACCAGAGATCAGATTTAATGAAGCCCGGTGCAATGATGTTGATGTCCAACCACATATACTCAGAATGGTTTTCTTAAATGTTCACACGAGAACCTAAATTAAACCCACTGGAACTCTCTTCTTAATATTTAATTTCAAGGTCATAGGTGGGAGCCTGGTGGGAGGTGCCACAGTGGACGCCACACTTAGTTTTGTTCTAGTGGGTGTAATGTGTGTTTTTCACCAGCAGATGGCAACAGAGATCTTAAATTGCCTCGTCGTGCACACAGTTGGAATAACGTTGAGCTCCAATTCTCGTATTCACCAGATTTTAGTTCTCTGTACACATTAACCAGCGAGTAAAATGAATGCTGTCATAAATAAGAAACGACACACAGTATGTTTATCTGGAACTTTGTGGCTTTATTTTTTTTCGTTATTTTACGACTGCCTGGTTGAATGGATTTGGAGCACGAGCTGATCATGCTGGGACCCCACCCCAAAATATATTTTATTATGCATGCAGTGTATTATTACGAACATACTTTAGATTTCACCATCATAATTGTATATACTTATTGGTAGTTTCTGGGTTATGATTTCGAAATATTTGTGCTTGAACAAGCTTTATAATGACAATGACAGAATTCAGCAGCTCTCAAGCACTTTTAAAAATTATTTATTGAGTCATAGCAATCCTAAAATCATTTTAAAATGAATGTCCTCCTCCCTATCAACATACATGAGATATTAGAAGCACTTCTCTGTGTACCCTACCACCCCCTACTATGAGCTCAGTGATAAATAATTATTACTTCTTTGGCAGTTATATTGCATTTACCTTCACAGGTGAACCACATAAAGCGTCCAGTGAGTGCACAAAGAAGAGTCAGAACACCTTATTTGCACTGCTTACCTGTAACTTATCTAAGTCCTATTTGCTCATTTATTTCTATATATTATCATTTCTTGCTGCACTAATGTGATTGCAATGCCTCCGTTACATCTATCTACATTGACATCAGCAGTTTCACACAAGAAATTCACACGTTTTTTTTGTGCTTATGCCTTTTATTACACATTTAGATCCACATTCCACTGACATTTGTCAAGTAAACAACAAAGTAATATTCATAAGAGTATGCAATGATAAAAAATAAAATCAAATTAATGAAAAACATCATTGTGAATCTTAAAATGAAAAGTGCATTTACAGTTTATGTTTGCATTTTACTGCTTTTTTATTTATTTTTTTAAACATAAAATAACGACATGCCAAGTAGCAAATTTGCAATTAAATTCCAAAAACTTTGTAAACATTATGATGTGCTACAAGTGAATTAGCAAATTTAAAAATTACATGAGAAATACAACGTTTGCACAGATGACAACAAACAGTATGTACACGCACTTCCCCCTCAGCGAACATCTGAAGCTTTCTGCAGCCGCCTTGATGTCAGAGAACATTTTACCTTTTTAAATTCAGAAGTGAGACATTGATCTAAACACCGGCAGCATGTCACCAAATAAGCAGCAGCAACAACATTACATCAAGTAAACAACTGAGTAATTAATGCAACTTCTTTCTCTCCGTTTAATGCTGGCAGTCTGGTTCGGTCTAGAGTTTCTTTTCCTGTCGGTCGTGAGCCGTGAGGCGCCTTTTGTTGGTCCAGAATCACCACAATCAGGCAGCTCTGGAGCAGCTGAAGTCCAGGCTTCTCTCTTTGTCCTGCAGCACTGAGCTGCACCTCACACCCTCTTTATTCTTCTCATCCACCTTGTCCCTTATTTTTTTTAAAAACAAACAAATCACCACTTCCCTTCCTCTTGTCTCCCATTATGACAAAATACAGCTGTTGGTCTTGTTCATGGGTGGCCGGAAGTTGGTGTCTTTGGGAAAGGTCTCCCTGCGTCTGCGTAGCGCCGGGCTGAGGCGGCTGGGAAGGTTCGCCTGCTGCAGGAGCTCCTTGAACACCTCCACCACGTTGGCGTTCTCCTTCGCCGAGGCTTCCAGGTAGCTGTTGTTCCAGTCCATCTCCACGGTCGACAGCACGTCCTCGCTGGACACCTGGCGCTCGTCCCCCCTGTCCACCTTGTTCCCCACCACCACGATCGGCGTGTACTTGTCCTCCTTGATCTCCAGGATCTCGTCTCGGAGGCTCTTGACCGCCTCCAGCGACTCGGGGTCGTCGACGGCGTACACCAGCGCGAAGGCGTCGCTGTTTTGGATGGAGAGCTTGCGCATGGCGGGGAAGGAGTAGCTGCCGCTGGTGTCCAGGATCTCCACGGTGACCTTGACCCCGCCGATGTCGTACTCCTTGCTGTGCAGCTCCTCCACGGTGCGCCGGTGTTTGGGCTCAAAGGTGTCCTGGAGGAAGCGTCTGATCAGGGCCGTCTTGCCCACGCCTGCTGCCCCGAGAAACACTAGACGCACCTGGGTCTTCTCCTTCACCTCCAGAGACATTTTGTGTCTTTTTTAACCAAAACTGATAAAAGAAATTGTCCCAAAAAGTGTTCCTCTCTGCAGCTACAACAACTCTACACCTGTCTCTGACTTCTAGCTCTCTAAACTGTCTCCCTTGAAGATCTCTCCATCAGCAGGTTGAGTCTTCTGCTTGAGCCTCTTTTCCTTTTTTTTTTTTCACTTGCTAATTTTTAAAGCTGCCACTGGCTTTTTTTTTCTTTTTAAAGCTGCTCAAAGTTGCCCATTGGGTGCTCTGCCGTGTCTGTGATCCCACACGCTGCCTTTTATGCCTGTTTTGGTGAGAGAGAGCTTCCATGCCTCCCCTCTCCCTTGCGGTTGCAGCCAATCAGCAGAAGGCAGCCTGTTGAGGCATAATATCCAGGCAACCAATGATTGCGGAGCATGCAAATCAGCGCACGGGGCCACTTGATATCTTGAGAGTGAATGCACGGCAAGCGTAGCGCAGAAAATACAGTTTGAGTCCTGATTATAATTCCAGACAGTCACAGAGCGGCTCAGAAGTAAGACATCATCTGCCTGTCATTCTGAAGCTTCGGCTCCGACGGTGTGAAGACATTCATGGAAATATCAGAAAAGCTCTGCTGAGGGGAACTGAAGCATAAATGTTCAGATAGTGGTGAGGTAGTATTTTACATCCTGGATGCTGTTTCGGTTGATTAGCTGTGCAGTTCTTCTTGATTAAAAAGAAAAAAACCTTGATAATCAACATTATGTGCCCTAAATGCAGATGATTCAGTCTCTTCTTCTGCAGCCAGTAATGTAAAGATACTGATGGTGACAGGAATGCTAAGTAGTCTATTAGGTGTCTGATAAATAATTTACCTCCTTTGGTACGTTTCTTATGCACCATCAATGAATATACTATGATCACATTCATGGAGAGATCAAAACTTATCCACTAAGAAATAGAGTTTATCTAAATCATGTTTGGATTATTTTGAAATTCGACATCATAAATTTCTGTTTGCATCGGGCTCTTTATTCTAAATTTGCCAAGTAGAGGAAGGTTTATTCATTATCTTTCCACGAGGCTACTCAAAGTGTTTTATATAAGCCATAAATAAAAAGGCATTAAAGAAACGGAGGGCAAAAAAACCAGCCCGCAATCCTCTGCAGAAAATGAGTGAAAGGTTATGTATTTAAAGTAATTTAATAAGAATAATCCCTTAATGCCTTAAAGGGGCTTAGATAAACCTCCAGAATGTGCAGCCGTCCACAACTCAAACACTGAAGCTACTCTGCACCACACAGGAGCAAGTTGTAATATCAGAGTAATTCAGCCATAGATGTTTGACACCGGAAGCCGATTCTAAAAAAATATATATATACACATCTAAAAGCCTGCCAGCTGATGGATTTGGTTCCTTACGTACTCTGAATCTGTGTTTGAGATGAACCTCGGTACACAGCAGCTTCACCGTGTTCAGCCCGACGGTGATTATGGACAATGTGGAACCAAGAAAACCCACTTTATTTTCACTAGAGGGAGTCTTTAATAAAATGCAATGACCAGCAAGCTTTAATGTAAAAGAATCAAGAGTTGGTGTCGATTTCAGCGTCTCTGATAGTTTGTTCTACAGGAGATGTGGTGAAGCCAATGTAAACACAGATTCTCCATTGTTTGTCTTTGGTCTAAGCGGTACAGTCGTGACTTGATAATCTGACAACCTTCTTTTATGGCGGATATCAAGGCTGTCAGATTGTCAAGACGGAGGTCGAGATACAAGGAGGGCTTGATGCTTGAAGGCTCATTTTTTGTAAATATTTATTGTTCATAGTTGTTATAATAACTAGTCGGACTGGTCCCAGTAGCACTTTCTGGTCCCCGGGTATTCAGGCCCAATTAATGATGAATATCTGAATATTCAGCACGATCAGGGGACACTTCCACCCCAGGGGAGCGCTCCAACGGGGTGGAAGTGTCCAGAACTCATGGGCAGGACTTTGCTGCTGACACCAGTTTAGTTAGTGGTCACAGTTCTGTTTCCACCATCAGTGGCGGCGGGGGAGTGGCAGATATGCTCCACTGTTACCATCAATGTTTATTATAAACACTGAGCACGTTCGTTGCGTGTGACATCGTCGTGTCCTCTTCTGCACATGCGGGACACTTTTGGGTCGTATGAAGTTCACACAGCAGATCATATACAAGTCGCATTTAATTGGAAATGTGAACGAACTCACAACAAAATCGGATTTCATAAAAAAATCTGAATTGAGCATTAAGTCCTGCAGTGTGAACGTCGCCAATCTGTGGGATTGTTCAGTCAGATAATACGCCGTTACCTTTATTTGTTTTTTAAAGATATTTTTGGGGCTTTAATGATAGTTGACAGAGAAGATAGACAGAGAAACGTGGGGAGGACAGTGAGGGAATGACACACAGCGAATGAGCCACTGGCTGGAATCGAACCGCTGCATCGGGGATAAAAGCCCCTAGACATGGGTTGCCCGCCCTACCGGCCAAGCTATCCGGGCGCCCCGTTATCCTTATTTGTGACATAAAATGTCATGTCAGAGTCGGAATCCAAGGCTGTTGGTATGTTAAGACTAATTTCAATGAATTCTGTCGGATAGCAAGGTTGTCGGATTGTTAAGGGTCGGATTATCGAGTCTCGACTGTATTTTAAAAAACAGCCAAACTTTTCAGTGCACACACAAGCTTAGATGCAGATACTGTGATAATGTGCTCTTTNGATATCAAGGCTGTCAGATTGTCAAGACGGAGGTCGAGATACAAGGAGGGCTTGATGCTTGAAGGCTCATTTTTTGTAAATATTTATTGTTCATATTTGTTATAAAAACCCAGTAGGGCTGGTCTGAATAGCACTTTCTGGTCTCCGGGTATTCGGGCCCAATTAAGATAAGATAAGATAAGATAAGATATGCCTTTATTTATCTCACAGTGGAGAAATTCACATCGTTGGTAGCAGCATTCAACATAGGTACACATATACAAGACAGGAAAAAATAAAAATAAAAATAAAAAATGTACATATAAATATAAGAAATAGTGCAAACAAGGAGAGTAGTGCAAAACAGAATATGAAAAATGGGCTTCTGAATGGGGGGAATATGGAAGAGATATATCTATATATATTTATATTTATATATAAAAGATAGGGATTTAAGTATATAATAATAATAGCAGTAATAATGATAGTAATAACAATAATAATAATAATAATAAGCAGTGCAATAAGTAGTGCAAATGAGAGGTAGTGGTATGTTAGTTATGGAATGGGATATTGCACGTTGTGTGGGTCTGCCACGTTGTGGGTCTACTGGGAACACAGCTGGTTGTAGAGTCTCACAGCAGAGGGGAGGAAGGACCTGCGGTACCTCTCTTTAGTACAGCGTGGATGAAGAAGCCTGGCACTGATGGAACTTTCCAGGGCTTTAACAGTCCCATGCAGAGGGTGGGAGGTAATGTCCAAGTACGATGACATTAATGATGAATATCTGAATATTCAGCGTGGTCAGGGGACATTTCCACCCCGGGGGAGCGCTCCGACAGGGTGGAAGTGTCCAGAAAGCACAGGTAGGACTTGGCTGCTGATGCCAGTTTAGTTAGCGGTCACTGTTCTGTTTCCACCATCGGTGGTGGTCGGGGAAGTGGCAGATACGCTCCACTGTTACCATCCACGTTTACTATAAACACTGAGCACGCTCGCTGTGTGTGACGTCGTCGTGTCCTCTTCTGCGCATGTGGGACACTTTTGGGTCGTATGAAGTTCACACAGCAGATCACATACAAGTCGTATTTAACTGGAAATGTGAAGGAACTCACAACAAAATCGGATTTCATAAAAAAATCTGAATTGAGCATCAAGTCCTGCAGTGTGAACGTAGCCAATCTGTGGGATTGTTCAGTCAGATAATATGCCGCTATCCTTTTTGTGTTTTTTAAGATATTTTTTGGGCTTTTCCGCCTTTAATGATAGTTGACAGAGAAGATAGAAAGAGAAACGTGGGGAGGAGAGTGAGGGAATGACACACAGCAAATGAGCCGCTGGCTGGACTCGAGCCACGGCCGCTGCATCGGGGATTAAAGCCCCTACACATGGGTCGCCCGCCCTACCGGCCAAGATATCCGGGCGCCCCGTTATCCTTATTTGTGACATAAAATGTCATGTCAGAGTCGGAATCCAAGGCTGTTGGTATGTTAAGGCTAATTTTAATGGGTTCTGTTAGTTTTTCCTAAAAACCTGTCGGATAGCAAGGTTGTCGGATTGTTAAGGGTCGGATTATCGAGTCATGACTGTATTTTAAAAAACAGCCTAACTTTTCAGTGCACACACAAGCTTAGATGCAGATACTGTGATAATGTGCTCTTTCTCCTCACTTATTAGAACGGGTTTGGGACTATAGTACACTGCCATCAGCTTTAGGACGGAGAAGTTCCACGAGGCCACAGGAGGCTCATCACATCGTTATATAGCTCAGGGTGTGATCTTCAGTGAATTCTGTCCTAGTGGAGAAATGAAACAAGGAAGCACTAGAAGACAAATCTAGCCACTATAGTCCCGAACTCTAACATTTCTTTTTGCTCTTTATCCTCAGTCATTATCAGTCATTAGAACAGATTTGGGACTATAGCGACTAGATTTGTCTTGTCCACCACACAGTCACACCAGTGCTTCTCCTATCACTTTGCTTCATTTGTCCACAAGGAGAAAATTAAAAAAAAAACATCATAACCTGAGCTATATAACAATATGATTAGCCTCCTGTGGCCTCGTGGAACTCATCTGTCCTTAAGCTGATGGCAGCATACTTACGTAAATTCTAAGGAGAACAGCTTATAGATCGGTCACACATGGCAATGCGTGACAATCACCTCCAGCCGTCCTTGGTGTCCAATTAGACGCGATGCATTGCCTCTAACTGTCTGAGAACGAATCGTGGCTGCCTGTAGTTTGTCAGAGTTTGTTTCTAGAGGACTGAGTCTGACTGGCGATGCTCCTAAATTTCCCCCGAGAGCGGCATCGTCTCGCATACGACCGTGACTCTCCCTGCCTTGTTAGGTTATGCAGCAATGTGGAACCATGGTAAGCCCCAGGGAACGGTG